AAGAAAGTGATACAACTTTTGATCAACAAAAAATAATTCTATTGAAGCTAAAGCATTTTCATCTTCAAGCAATAGAATCAACATTGACTATTGATTCAACTTTTGCTAAGAAAATTCAATTAAGTATTTCCTTTGATCTTTTTATTTATAATATCAAGAATAATTCTTTTAAATCTCATAATACTTCTAAATTTGAATTCAAGAATAATCTACTCTATTTTGAAGGACAATTATATATTCTTATAGACAAAGCATAATTACATGTTCTTCAAGTTCGTCATGACTTTTCAATAGCCAAACAGTTTGAATACAACAAAACTTTAGATCTAATATCTATAGATTTTTGGTGGCCTTAAATATAAAAAATAATCAAAGATTTTGTACAATCATGGGATATTTATTTAAGATCCAAAATTCTTCATTATCAACCTTAACGACTTTTTCAACCATTATGTATTTTAGAACAACCATAGTCTTTTGTTTCTATGGATTTCATCATAAACCTTTTTATCTCAGATTCATATAATTCTATATTTGTAGTAGTAGACTATTTTATCAAAATGGCACATTTTATACTACATATAGAATTTATCACAAGTAAAAAAATAGCTAAGTTTTTTCTTGACAACATCTATTGATATCATGGATTATCCAAGGATATTATATTGAATATGAGGATTCAATTTATATCTAGATTTTAAAGAATCCTTGTGAAGATTTTAAAGGTGGATATAAAACACTCTATGGCTTTTCATCCTCAAATTGATGGACAAAGAAAATAAGTGAATCAAGTTCTAGAATAGTATTTGAGGTGTACTATCAACTACCATTAAAATGATTAGACATTTCTTTTGCTATTGATTGAATTTGTATATAATATTTTGATATATTCTTCTACTCATCAAATATCTTTCTTTGCCAATTATGATTACCATCTATAACTTAATACTTTTGACTTTTTAAAAGTTGATAATTCTACAGTAAAAAATTTAGCAAATTATTTATCAGAGCTACATATAGTAATGAAGGTATAATTAAAAGAAACTCAAGAATGACAAAAGATCAATGCAAATGCCTATTTTAAGGAATAACTACAATTTAATATAAGTGAGAAGGTATGATTACTTTGTCACAATATCAAAACTACTTGTCGTTGTGACAAGTTAGACTATCATAGGCTTAGATCTTTTCTTATTTGTGAACAAGTCAATTCTATTACTTATCAATTATATCTACCAAAGTTTATAAAGATCCATCCCATATTCTACATGTCTCTTTTTGAGCCATATAAAATAATAAATATCTTAGGAAGAAGACAAATACCATCTCTTCCTATAGGAATGAATAATAATTAAGAATTTGAATTAAAAGTGGTTTTAGATTCAAGTCAGCATCAAAGTAGATTAGAATATCTGGTTTATTGGCATAAATATGATATTAGTGAACGCACATGGGAGCCAGCAAAAAATCTACAAATGCAACAAAGAAAGTTGAGGCTCTTTAATGACAACATCCATAAAAATCAAGATAAAAAATAACAAATCTTTGCTATAAAAGAAGTAAGATCCAAAGAAAATAGCATTCTACCTTCTACTTTTGTTTATAGCTTTTGTATATTTGTGATACTAAAGAGATAGAGAACCAACAATTAATAGATTCAATTCAACAGCTTTCACTTATTGACTTACTAGATATGATATTATGATTGTTATAACCTTCAAGATGATGTAATTGAAATGAAGATCCTCAAAAACAACATACCCTTTCTTGAATAGATGGCAAGATAAAACGTGTTTGATATCATAACTTTAGAAGAGACTTTCAATATTTGGTGATTTTATTAGAGGTAGAAATAACTCTTAATAGTGTTTCAAATGTTTTATTTAAAGGAAGTTACAAAGGCTTCAACAATAATTAAATAATAGGGTAGTCCTCACGCCTTGATATAAGATATTATTAATGGTTGAGAGGACCTATCAACCATCATCACAGATAGCAAATATCAATGTATGTAGCAAACACAATTTGCTGCATCTTGGATTTCTTCAACATATGATGACCACTACTCATAGAACTCATCTCTAAAAGGAGAAGTAATGTCACAAACATATATATTTACTCTAATATTTATCTACATGCTTCATATATATATATATATATATATATATTATATTATTTATTTTTTTAATTAATATCTGTCTTGCACTTATGCAAATAAGAAACCCATAATTACTATAAACAAATTCATGTAAGAAAGTAACTAAAAGTATATTTGATTAAATGCAATTGGCCACACTCTTTTGAATTTCTATCATTTTAGTCAAACTTTATACTTCTTCCCTATTAAAAAGTCCAATATGTGTATTATGTAATGAACTTTTTTAGACTTCTTTAAGTGATACACACCATTATACACAAAATAGTGTATGAATTCATCCTTCGAATATTCCGTATCAAACCCCCTCTCTTCCAAAAAAATTCAAAAATTATTAAAATATTCTGACTTTCTACTTACTTTTAAACACTCAATCCTACCAGATCACGGCTACTAAATTCCACTCTAAACACTGCTCACTAAAGTTTTGTGGAGTGAAAACGTTGTGGTCAGCGCTTGTGTTATTGCAGGCAATAACATTGTTTAAGACTCTATTGTGAATTTGTTTCAAGGTAAGTTGTTTCAACATTCGTTTGTTGCACACATAATCATCTGTCGAAAGATCAATCTTTTCACCACAACAAACGATGAATTCTGAAGTAACCCAATCGTGTGCATCCAACGATCTAAATTCGTCATACCTACCTTGAAACAAATTCACTTTTGCATCAGATTACCAAGACTTTCAGAACTGTTAAGACTCAGGTTTCCCAATTGCGGTGTTTTACACCAACTCTAAATTTACTCTATTGCTGACCATTCTTACATTGCATTGAGTTCACGACAATTTGTCGAATTGTCGTGAGAGTTTGGTGCTCTGTGATGTATCTCTGACAAGTGCAAGTGTAGTTACGAACCAAGTTACCGAGCACAGCGGAGAAGCTCTACAATTCGCACTCTCGATACCTTCATGGTCAAGCCATGCACCGAATTTATTGGTGGCTACTTTCCCGTTGCGTTGATTTACAGATGGGATGACCTATTCACTTTCTCGATGACAACATGAAAAGAAACATGGCTTTCGGTCATTCAAAGGGCAACAACAGAGATCACAATGTGGCAACTTGTCACACGTTCAGCAGTCATTATTGAGAAAACTGGGTTTTGGGTCCCTGAGTAGCCAATCCGATTGTGTGCAGAGCCTCAATGAATTCTATTGACAATTTTGCAGTCGTATTTGTTGGGAACATGGGAGGAACTTGTACCTTGGCGTGATTTGTGACGAAAGAGCGACGAATCATAGCTCAATTACACGCAAACTTTAGGACCTAGTCAAGTAAGTACCTTGGCGTTTCATTAATGAGCCCAGCGATGCGGTACCACCCACGTACGTACGAGAACTAGAAACCAGGAAACTCTGATTAGGAGAACAAAACACTTCGAAATTTTGTCATGTCTCGTAATTGATCGAATTATCCCTAATTGATCACGATTGCTAGTACCGGTGAAAAGACTTGGTTGAGAATAACAGGTGGAGCTCACTCCAGGTGTGGATCTGCAACTGATGTGTTTCACTGCCCCTGCATCAATTTACATTCCATCTCTCATAGTTTGTTTATCCTCCTACACCTGGTGATTAGTTTATTGATTAATCGACTAACTGATGGTACAGTATGAATTGTGTTTGCAGGTCATCGTGGCAACTTGGATCGTATGTTGGCCTGCCACCGTCCATGTCAAGGGCACTTGTGTGACTCATTCAGCGCTGACTTCGGGTAAAAAGTTGATCACTCTGTGTTGCGCACTCGACGAACTTTTTCATTGTAGATGATAACTGAATCTAACTTCTTCGAAACAGCACTGCATATTTTATTGAAGAAAGCAAACAATGGCAGAAAGTTTAAGTTTGTTGCGAGGCTGCTTGTGGAATATTAGGGAGAATCTGACACGTAACATTCTAGTAGAAGCACTGACAGGCTTTTGTTTTGGTGGGTCTCTTGCAATCGCTTCGGAAGCTTTTCTACACAAAGTGCATAACACCACAAGGTTGAAGCCGGAGCGTCCACCGGCCTTCTCCACGAAGCCAGAGAATCCGAAAGAGGGTGGTTATCAAAGAGATTCGATGAGCATCGTAGAAGCAAGGGCCTGAAGAAGGAGCTATAAATGCTTGGACATGTCAGGAACCGCGATACAGAATCTCTGTTCTACACCCTCCAAGTGTAAATATCTCGCCCTGCCACCTCGAGCCGCGGACCCCGCATTTATGGTAAGGATTACAAGATAGAAACCAATCAGGAGTGGGCCCATCCCATGCCAAATCAGTTGGTTCTCTGCCAATCGTTCTCCGGGGACTGTCCAGGGTATGCAATTACAGCCACAAGATGCAAGATATTGGCCACGCAATTATTCCGATATTCGATTAAATTTTCCTACCATTGGCTCTCATTGCGGGTCCGCGGATGGTGTGGGGCCTTCGTCGCACCAGCAGCCAGAGAATATAATAAGAGAACGAGGGAAAATCAGGTTGGAAAGTCTTCTAGGTAAAGATGATTTGGACAGTTCGAGTCCACAAGCGGCATTGCAGTGCACAGCCACCTGGCTACTCAGTGACGTAGTAGCTCGCAAACATAAATTTATTGGCAAAATATTCTTGGAGCCAAGCCGTTGGAGGGAAGAATACAGGTAGCCTTAGGAAGCAGAGAAGACGAGTACTCTTCTCACACGACCTTTCCTTGACGTTTGCTGTTGCTTCCCTTCACAATGATCAATAGCATACTACTATTTCAATCGCCGCATGTTGTCCTCACTCGGAGGAACAACGGTTGAGGTTGTGAATTGGACTTGTAAGTTTGGGCTGCGCTTCCTGAGGAGGGTGGGCTCGTTTTTTGGCTTTTCTCCATGGCTTGAGAGGTTTTGGTTGAGTGAGCTTCGTAGGGCGGTTGGGTTCCGTGTTTTTTTAGTCATACTTGAGTGAGAGTTAAGCTATTGTGTGTGTCGGTCTTGGTGTGCGGTGACTGCAGTGCACATTGGCAGAATTGTGTGCTCTTCCTTTGATTTGGTTGTTTCGAGGTGTTTGTGGCCTTGGAATCGATGGGATGAGTCTTGGCATTTTTATGACGGCAACTTTTTTCTTATGTTTTTGGATTTTAGCTGCAGGATCTGGCTGTGATGCAACTGTATGCTGCAGTCTTTCCTCTTGATTAATCTTTTGGGCGTCTTACAGATAGTGAGGGACTAGGTTGGTTTCGTTTCTCATTGTTGTCCTTTGGTTAGGAGAGTAGGAATCATTGTCTGGGCAAGGCGATGTCTGTGCGGAATAAGGCAGGGCTGCTGAGTTAGCTTGAGGTTTCTCTCTGAAAATGCTGACCGGATCTGTTTTTGTGTTTTTAGTTGCGCAGAATGCATTGCTGCAATATCGCCCTTCTTCTGTAGGTATCGGTTCGACTTGTCTTTGTGTGCTGAGAAGAAATCTGTAGCTAATCGGGCGAAATAGGTAAGCAATCATATTCAACTAACGATTGTATTGGTGAGTGGGTTCATAGGAATTTAGGTTAAAAGTATTCAAGTGGAAATCCTGCACAGTAACACTAGTAGTTTGATATGATGGAGATGAACATCCTTACATGGATCTTAAGGACGAGCTAGTAATCGGAGAAAATCCCGACCTTGTGTAGCTTTTGGAGATTGGGGACAGAGTGTGCAAGGGCTTGACTTGGTATGATCAGTTTTAAAACGTTGTGATCTGATTTCTTGTGGTGAGCAACAATTATAAAAATGAATTTTGGGGTGGGAGTATAGCATGCTAACAATGAATTCAATTGTGGCTAGCTGTACAGCACGATGGGATGCGTTCTGTCTTCAGAAGCTTTACATGACACAAGCCCAGCTCCAGCAGTCACCGTCGGTGTGGGTGGAGAGGTTTATGTGTATGTTCCGGGCCTCAGAGCACCCAAGTATGTGGACCTTAGAGAGCAACTGCAGGGATCTATTTCTGCAGACTTGCTATTGCGGTTACAGCAGCTGCGGTCTCAGGTTTTGATTACTTCTGGGAAGAATATGCCGGCATCTAAATCAAAAAGATTAAGAAGGTCACACCATCAAGGTACAGTGCGTCTCCAGTTTGAGACTACTTTACCTTGTGGATACTACAGGCTTCATCCAACATCAGTACATTGTCGAGATCGACACGTGTTACACTTATTCAAATGCATTTGCACTCCCGTAGCAACTGATGTGATTTGCAGCCAAATTCTTGAACAGTGTCCTTCAGGGGTTGTTGTCGAACAGTGTGAAATATTTGACAACAATCAGATGCACAGTCGACAAGATCAGGAGTTGTTTTCCAACGGTCTACAGGGTTTTGGAGAGTCAAACTCAAGTCCATGCCTTTGTGACACCCTTACGCTAGTCTGTAATGTTCTCATGTTGACGTGTGCTGTGGTCGATGTGCAGATACTTCCACCGCTGTTGATCTGGAAAAGGCACTTGTGAATTATCTTCCTGTTCTCCTGGGTTTCGTAACTGGAGGTCAGTACTAATCAGAGTTTTCGTAAAATTACATTTCAGTGTTACGAGGAATACTACTATTCAACCTGGTCGATTGTGATTAAGGTTCTGGCAACATTAGTGCCATTTGGAACCATGCAATTGTGAAGAATATGGTTCAGGTAGTCGGACAATCCACGAGTTATTTAGTTAAAATGGGTGGCAACAGGATTCTATAAGAAATTTAGTCAGATATGATTGCGGTGTTCAGTTAGTGTACAAGTATAGTTATTATTTGCATTGTAGGATGGAGTAGGATCGTTTTTGCTTACGACCTGATGCGGTCGCTTGATGCAGGAGAAAAACTAAGTTCAGGACTAGTTTTTGAATGGACCAATGTGGAAGATGAGAAACAGGTGGGTATTCATCATCTTGGCCAGTTCCACGTTCTTGTGTCACATTGCTATCGCATTCTCCAGTTTCATTGAATGATCATGCACGTAACCTGCTAATGCTAGATGTATACGCTTCTGCAGTAGTTATGGGCGGTAATTTATTTCTCATGCGTCTAAACTAATTAGTACTTGCGATGAATGCTTTGATGAAAGGTTAACAAGCTAGGTTTTTTGGTGTTCACAGGAAACAGCTCTGGGAAGTGTTTATTATGAATTGTTGTCGGTGCTTCATCTACTAGGCTACCTGGCACTGCAAGAAGCTAATATATGTCTAACACCTAGACCACCTGCAGAGGGATATAGCCCCAAAGTTACAGAAGGCACGTGCTTTGTTTTGGGTTGAGTCTTTGCTTTTGGGCTCAACTTATCTACATGACTTTTTCCTACAAAAAGTGTATTCGATGGTAACTCTGATTATTTTTACCACCTGTTGCATATTAGCTGCAACAATATCACGTCGTCGGTGGCTTTATTGCCCAATTTACGTTTATTATTTGCTGTTGTAAGGAGACGATGTTGATTCATACTTAAGCGATTCATGCAATAGGGCAAACAATTTATGTTGCATCCTACACAAATCATAAGTCTACAAGTAGGAAGATGTTTGGTACATACGTCAAAACCGAGTTATAGAAGATTCGAAGCTTGCGTCTGTTAAAAGCGCAGTATTTATTCGGTTCAAGAATTTAATATGAAACATTGGGTTCACCAGATAACAAGAGGGATGCTATCGAGTTACTGCTAAAAGCTGCTTCATATTTTGAGTGTGCCTTGCGTGCCGTGCTTCCCCACACCCCTGAAGTTATCAAGTGAGACATCCTTATATGATGGAATTTACATTGCAATGTGTGTTGAGTTTTGTCCAGGAGGCAGAATGAGATATAGGTTAGTGCATCATGACTGAATGATTCGAATGAGAGTACATAGATAGACATTGGGGTACACGTTTGGGTACTACCCCCTGACAACATTTGTAGCTTTTGTTGATATTAGCTCCCCACCATTTTGAGCCTTGCTTGCCTCTTGTTTATGAGGTGAGTGGATCGAGGATCGGATTTTTAACGTGGTTACATGTTTCCTTGTGGTGTAGAGCAAAGTTACCTGCCGATCTGACAGAACCAATGCTTAAAGCCTTGGAGAATCAAGCTTTGGGCCAGGTACACTGTTCAACAGCTGTAAGAGGAATTTTAACTAGTTGCAATACATGATGGCTGTGTACTGTTTACGAATGAGCTGTGCACCAGCTTATCTCGTGTAATTTGTATGTTTTGGCTTGGTAGTTCTTAAGCTCAAATTTGTTGATTGGGTCGGACATTTTCATTGTTGTGCAGGGTGTTGAGTTGCAGCTGGGATTCGCTGTGGACAATGTGAAAGCATCTCTGGCTGTGAAGCGGAGATTAGCTTGCGAACATGTGAAAGTTTGGGAGGAGGTTTGTCTTTTTATCATTGGTCTTTGAATAATTAAGGCAGAGATTTATTTGTACAACAAAATATTAATTCTCCCATTGTTATCATAGTGGTCTTTTATCATTCCATTTGATCCGATAGTGGTGTTTTATCATTCCATTTGAAGTCATTTAAGCGTAATGTTAATCTTTTGATTAAGTATAAATTTGACATTAGGATTGATATCTTGTGCACATTGTTTAATCTAAGCGACAGCAATGTAGTCAGGGTTTGCCAATTGGTCACACTATATGTGGAACAATAATAAGCTTCTGTTCACTGTCGTCACAGGTCAACGAGAACATTGAACGCGTACCATTGGCAGATGGATGGAGGGAGAAGCATCTATTGTTTGTTAAGTGGAAGCTTTTGGAAGCCAGGGCTGGGGCATATTACTTCCATGGACTTATTCTGGATGAGGGTTATGAAGATGATACACATGCACAAGCCATTACCTGCCTTAAAGCTGCGGACACCTGCTTGAAAGACAGTCAGATAATCAAAATTGAATTTGGCAATGCAGAGCCCAAAACCAAGTACGTACGGTCTTGATTCAGCTTAGAGTATTATCTGCGTACCTGAAGTTTTGATCAACTTGTCTTAGATTAGATATATCATCCTGGGTTTTGTCAGAAATAAACTAGATATTCGGACCTATGTGCAATTGATTTTCACCCTGTTAAAATGAAACGCAGAGGGCCTCCGCTGTCGGGTCCCATGAAGTATCTCTCGGAGAAAGTACCCAGGGAAATGTTGGCCAAAGCCCGAGTTTTTAGTGAACACTATCGGAATGAAAAGTAAGCCAGCGTTCCTTTCTCATGCTTTCAGTTGCTGAAAATTCACGTTGTAAATATTTTCTCGTCATGTATGGTAATAAAGATTTTGCGTTACCACTGAATTTGGCTCAATAAGTGGACGAACTTGGCTGCAGGTTCCCTGCCACTACGCCCCTGTTGCCGGTCTTTTCACTTGCGTTAAGAGCTGATGAGTTCAATCTACCTCCAGTTGACCCAGCTTGGGAAAAAGTAACCGGGTACGAAGTTAGACAAACACAGTTTTCAGACCGTCCAGCTTTTCTAGCAAAGAAAGATCTAAATCCCAAACAAAATGGACTATCAGACTTGAGAAGATCTCAGCCTATGATGGATGCTCCGGCGACTGTGCAATCTAGATAGATTTAATGCGTCTTCTCGGAACAGAGCAAATTTTTTCTTGTGAGTAAAGGTCTCCTTTTTGTTAGACATTCTTTGGGTAGGTAAGGTTTATCTTCTCTGCTCTAAACTAGATAGCTCCAAATGTAATAAACTAGGTGATGCCCAGTTTATAAGGGTAATAAAAATAGCGATTACGTGCAGTAAAATTACAGAGATCGTGAGATTTTAAATACTTTAGTAGTTATTGCACAGTTGAGAGAAGAGTTGCAAAGTAATTCTAGTACTCAAATGTGTACATAGCTTCACTTTGAAGCAGAGGTCGGGTCTTTGTGCTATTCCACATGTAAATAATGTACAGTGTTAGCAGGTGTTGATCTCATTTCATGTAAGCATGTAACTGTGTTGCTTTATTTTTTGGGCATTGTTACTTACGCATATCATGCCAGGATGTTAATCTTCAATACCATGTGGGTCTCGTATCTTTTATTTCTATTTTTATTTTTTTGTTTTTTTAGAGTTTCAGCTTTGTAATACATATCTAAAGTAAGTTCAACACTGTAATATATATGTTTCAAATTTTGAACAACTTTTTCTGTGCTGAAGAATATACTCTAGATGAGATGACGTAATAGTCATACATGGTTCTGTTAAATGCTTTTATCACAGGTGAACTCAAAATGTGAGCAGTTTACTATTCTTTTAAAAAAAATCGATACATGAAACAGCCAATTAATTGTCAGGGAGCCTCTTGGAGATAGAGTTTCATAGGGCCAATCAACAGCATTTTAAGGATTTCTGAGAATTCCAAGTTCCAGTTTGGATTTTGTTCCTGTGTGCAGTTAATTTCTTGCATTTTCTATTGATCATGTTATTTTTAGCATACTACATGGATTATTCTGGAGTTAAAAACACTTAAAACTAAGTTTGATATTCCCATTGCCAAATACTTCTAATATGCAAACACATGCAAAACAACAAATATCAACTTATTTGAACTGGGTCATTCTAACACATTTTAACAAAAATGGAATAAAACAAAATAAAATTTACTCTGTGATATAACTGATAATTTTAGTAAATTCCATCATATATAAATTACTAAATTAGATTTCAATTCACCAAAAAATTCCTTTTTTCAAAAATAATTATGTTTATATATAATAATTTTATTCTTATATAATAAAATAAAAATTTAAATGTATATATATATATATATATATATGTATTTCTTGTAAAAAAGAAACATCATGCAAAAATAATTACATATTTAAATATATGCATGAATACATATAGATATATATATATATATATATATATATCCATATACCACAAACACCAGAAAATATTGTGAAATATGTTTTGTTCATTCAATTATTAAAATGTTTAGTTATGTTAAAGAAATTAAGAAATTCAAAAAACAAAATAAAGTGGAGAATTAAATTTAATTGCTCAATGTCGAAAATGTTGCAAAAGTAATCAGATTTATGAATTAGTGCTTTATGAAAGTTTTGAAAAAACAAAAACAATATTTCAATATAAAAAAATGAAATTTACCCTGAAACAATAATCAAACGTAAATTTGCAACTTGCTATGTTTGTTATATTGAAATTCCAAAGCTACCAGGAACTACCATCATTTGGTGCCATATATTGTGTTCAATATAATGCATACAAGCTATATTTAATGAAGACCTAAATATGAAATATAAAATCTACATATCCACATCAATATATATATATATATATATATATATATATATATAGTACCAAAATCGATATTAATTTGGTAATGCGAGACTTGACTTCAAAGATATAAATGATAATATTCTTTTGATTATGCTAAAAAAATGTGAAACTAACCAGAATTGACTTTTATTTAGTATAAACTCCAATTAAATGTCGAAGATAAATTTCATTTTATTAGAAATAATAGAAGCATGTCATTTCAAAAAATATATATCATTGCTATGATTTTAGTTGTTATAACTATTTTCATGTTCATAAAAATAGTTCAAGTGATTGCTCATTGTCCATGCAATGGAAACGTCTAGTAGGATAAGGATTCTTTCTACTAATACATAATCACACGTTTAAATCTAGAAATGCAGCAAGACGTGAAATACTGCAACGTAGTCGACAACAACGACAGACCAGTCAGGTTGTGGGAATACCTTTGCCATGTGAATACCATGACAAAGGCACATCAAAACATGATTTTTCTTGTACAATCGACGCTGAGATTTGGAGCTGCTCACCCAGCCGGTCCCAATCTGATTTTCTTACTTACATTATCGCATAGAAAATTCCGCCTGAGAGACGTAAAAGCTGAAGATTAGCAATGTCTGTCAACAACAAGCTGAGAGATAGACATTTTCATTTCGAAATGCAGGACGTCAAATGCTAGAAGAAGAAAATGCATTTTTGACTTTCGCTTGGGTCATACAAGTTAAAAACAAAAATAATTTGCTCACAGATTGTGAAAATAACGTTACATCTACAAGTTCTCGTGATCAGCGGACTGATGCATCGAGTACCACTCGTTATCTAGAAGAAGGTACACTAATAAGAGGTGGATTCTCGGCTGTCTCGCAATCTGACCACTCTTCAGTTACTCCAAATTCTACAGCGTGCAAAGACTTAGAATATTCTAGTTTCATAACGGGTTGCAAATCACCCTCTACGATAGCTTCAGTCCCTAGAAGCAATGAGATTGCTCGAGGAATTGTAGGCCGTAAGTCTGGGTTGTCCAATGTGCACAGTATAGCTGTCTTAAAAATCCTTAACGCTTCGTTTTTGTCGAAATTGCCATCCAATCTAGAGTCCACAAGGTTCAGCAGCACCTGATCATCGTCGTTTGTTCGCGATAGTTTATACATGCACCTAATCTGCAAGATTTATGAAATAATACTCTTGTCAGTTATGCACGTCATCCTCAGAAACTAATATTTTTCATTTGCAAATTACTGACTGCGAATCGAACCATGGTCCAACTAACTGGAAGAAATGGAAAAATTGCTTACTCTGTCAACGAGGAAAAGCAAGGATCCTGAGGGAGTCCGCTTCATGTTCACCTCACCCGTTACAATTTCCATCAAAACTACCCCGAAGCTATATACATCCACCTTTTCTGTCAACTGGCCTCGTGTAACGTACTCCGGTGCGACATACCCTCTATATTTGTCATTTCCACAATGGCACCAAATCGTAAGAGAAACAACTATTTCATTAAGCATTGCTAGGCTTCATAAATAAAGGGCTTTTAAGATAAAGTCTTGTGCTATATCCTTGGATGATTGCTCAAAATCAAAAATCTCAGAGTAAAAGATTGTTGAAAACGTACAATGTTCCAGCGACATTGGTTGTGAAGTGAGAGTGTTCCTCTGGGAACAATTTGGCAAGGCCAAAATCAGCTATTTTGGCTTCTAGATTACTATCCAGAAGAACATTACTAGCTTTGATGTCCCTGTGTATAATTCGAGGTGTGATTTCATTATGCAAATAGGCTAGTCCTCGCGCAGTTCCCAGAGCGATGTTGAAGCGAGTTTGCCAATTTATCTCGATGGCTTCCTTTGGACCACCTACGCAAGAAAATAGTACTTTACACTTCCAATGCAATGGTGCAAAGCAATTAACAATAAGCAGCTAACGTTAACTTATTATTATGAGACCATGGTTGATCGTAATTGATGGATCTTTTGAAATTGGAAGTCTTTCGTAACCTCCTAATATAACGTTTACGAGACGTGAAAAATACGTCAAATTCAGAGATCAGAAAAGCAAGCAGTATGACATCTCACCAAGCAAGGACTGACGAAGACTTCTGTGCTCCAGATATTCGTATACTAGCAACCGATGCCGTTTCTCAACACAGCATCCCCACAACTTCACAAGGTTTCGATGCTGTACTCTGCTAATTACAATCACCTCATTTAAAAACTCGCGTGCTCCTTGCTTCGAATTATCAGACAGCTTCTTCACAGCTACCACTGTGCCATCCTTGAACTTCCCCTGATACATTTCAATATTCAGTGTTTAAAACTTTACGACTTGACCAATGAACGCCATACAATAAAATGCCCCCTTCTAGCCATAAACGATATACCTTACTGCCCATTAGAAATGCTGCAATAAACGAGGTCATTTCAAGATTTGGTAAAGTATATATTTTATTAGCTACACATATTACGTTGGTTATGATCTTAAGCTTTACCAAATATACTTCTCCGAAGCCGCCTTCACCCAGTTTATTAGCCGTGTGGAACTTCTGAGTTGCATTTTTCAACTCCTTAAAAGTATACTGATTTGTTGCAACATTCTGCCTCGCAAAATCTGGAAGACACAACATCGTCTTAGAAGTTTGTTATGCTCTCCGCTTCTAAAATTGAATCAAAAAGTCCACTTGCTAAACAATGGGCCACAGTTCCAACCGATGAATAAATGTTTCAAGCAAATTACCTTCTTTTGTTTCTCTCATGGAGGTCCTAGCAGCTCTTCTCCTCATAAGGATGAACCCAAAAACAATGGTGAGAAGGACAAGGGGACCAGGTAAGATAGCACCGAGCAACAAGTTCGTGATATCTCTTTTTGGAGGTCCTTTATATTTGCAAGTGTCGCAGCATAAATTTTTCAAGTAGGTGTCTCGTGGTGATTCATTATTGAACAGATTTGGAAGGCAAAGAGCTTTATCATGCTCTTCCACAGGTTTGGTACACTTTGTAAGGTTTACCTGCAGAATCAATTCATTAGAGCAGAGAAACGAGACACGATCAGAGTTCCATTTTTCAAAAGTTACAACCAGAGACCATTTGAGACATGCACAACCTATCTGTTGGAACTGAAACTGTTATGTATAGCCACAGGAGAATGGAAATTTTCTCAACCTGGCTCATTTGACACGCTAATGGAGCACTCGGGACGCTCGCATCGATTAATCTCTGCTTAATGGCAAGAGAAACCTCATCTGATTTCACCACCACATCTATACCCGCTACTCCATAAAGAATTCCTTCACTGAAAACTGCACAAGACCGCGAATAAAGAAGTCAATTGCACTGTGTTTCTGTAATCTGCATTTTCATAATTCGTAAATCCGTATCATATCTTCATTTAAAAATACTCAATTGAAGCCAGAAGCTTTTATCCCGAAGACAGGACGTGTACCCCAGAAAGAATTTTCTTTTTTACCAAGAGAACATGTAATGGATCCTAGACAAAAATCAAACAACTGACCTGGAAAAGTAACGGTGGAAACATTGCCCAATCCGTCGAAGTCGATGTACGTTTCTGTCCAGAATGTGTTGTTGGCTGCAGATCTCAAAGAAGCTTGATAGTCGAAATAAGGACGTATAGCCCAAAGAGGATTCCGCTGCGCATCTGTAAGACTGACATGATTCACAGTGCTATTCATAAGACAAGATAAACTCCGAAGCTCAATCAGAGGATCAGGTTCAGTTTGCGTGTCGTCGCCCACGCTGAAAAAGAAAACAATAACGCCTTCTGTTTTAAGAGTCAAGACCATTTGTTGAAGAGCTGAATCATTGTAGCTTCCACTCTTTGCGAAATTCCCGTCTGTCAGTACAACGATCATCTGTTCAAGATATAAGTGATTAGAATATACACGTCTGCTATGATGACACAAGTTCTTGTTTTCGGACTTGTACCAACAACGATGATTGACGTGAAATCCACAAGACATATCACTTGGAGCCAACTAGGATACCTTGAGTAAACTGGTTGCGTTGAAGGCTGTTATTGCCTGCTCAAATCCACGCGTGATGTTCGAAAATCCTCGTGAACCGCTCGCTAAAGACGAGATTTTAAAAATGGACACTAGATCAGGAGCTTGTTCCCCTTTAATAACAACCTGCAATTCCATAAGAAGAATTTAGAGGACGGATGGTAAGGTTAGTGTTCACATGTATCACTAAGGCTTGCAAATGGCTAGAGAGTGATACCGAACAGCTTGAATAGCAACACACACCAGATACTGTGTGCCACAAGCAAGGTTAAGAAAAGACAACAGATGTCGGAATTACGGAAGTCGGTTGAAATAAAGTTGCACTAGTGGAGTCGAATGTGACTAAGTTGATGCGGTCTTCAGGCCTAAAAGTGCCGAGTAGTTCTTGTACAATGGTCTTTGAATGTGTCAAAGTAGAATCATTCACTTGCCCTGTATCAAGGAGCACTACCAAGTCCTTGACAACAGATACTGCTGTTATATACCTGCAAAACATAGACCTTGAGAATTAACACATGAATATTCACGGGGTCTATGATCAAGTCATGTGTCATTGAAAGGAAAATTTCCTGATTATGCATGGAGCAAAGTCTGCGATTGCTGCAATGTTCTTAATCCATTACCATTCATCTGAGATTAGGTATGAAAGATAAAAAAAATTTGGTATTAGAGTATGAAAGATAAAATTCCAACTAACTGAGCGATTATTACAACGAGAAATTATCATATAAATTTCAATCCCATCAAAACGAGTAGGTCTAACAAGTGTCTCAGTTTTTGAAGATATTGATCCACGGCCAACTAAGCTCAACTAGAGAAATGGATAAGAAGAGAATATCGTCTAATCACATTTATTTTCATGACACATTGATGGCAAAAAGACATGAATCACAGTAGTCACCGTAAATTACCAGGGCCTTTTCCGAGGGTCGTACTCTATGCAGCTCTTATCAGGATCCGCCTCCTGCTTTCAAGAAGTAAGTATCTCTTTAGAAATTTGTACGATGTTTTGCACTGATATATACTTTATTTGTTCACAATGTTTACAAATGGGGAAGCATAATTATTTTAATGAAGTTGTCCAACTGGAATTGGTTGAACAGGGTGATGTGAAACAACATACTCGACCAGGGTAAATACGCCATGCGCCCTCCGCGGATCCGAAGTAATTCCAGAAAGTAAGTTCATTGAAGATTGTTTCACTGCTGGCGGGAAATTGAAGATTTGCTTGAGCGCATATCGCTCTCGTTAGCTCTGGACTCAGATTTTGATAATCCTGGAACTGTGGAGGAACGCTGCAATCAGAAAAACCTTTATCGTATAGGTTAAAAAGATCATGTAACTGAAAAAATAGGGTTTGTGGAGGATTTTTTTTATAAGAAAGAGAAAAAAGAAAACAAGAACCCAAAATCAAAAAGATCTGCAGGTAACATAAATCATATAAATTTAGCCTGCACTGATTTTGACAGAACAAGAATGTGGTGCCCGTATTCTTTTAAAGATACACCAACACGTTCTGATGTACATAACCTCCATCTTGTAGGTAATTTCCTCAACTCTTCTCGCAGCGATGATACTTCGGTGAGAAGATAACATACAGGATGGAGGTTATGCATGCATCACTTTGAGGATCTGCATATTCCGACTGAGCTAAGAATCTCCTGCACTATTGGGAGTATTGGAGGAAGCAATCCAAAGAAACGAGGTTCTATTCAACTGTGATCGTAAGTATGTATTGAACTACAGTCAAACGATTGTGAGCTCTCTCAGTCGTGTCTCAATTCAGCTCCAGAAATTTGAGATTCCACAAGTGGTCCCTGTGTAAATTTCCCATGAAGAACATAATAGCTGCTCACCGCACAAAGCCATTCCCGGTGAAGTCTACCATCATTGTTTCACATGCTGCACTGCTGTTGGTAGGGTTTACACAGTCTGGGACAGCTCTAGGAGATTTAACACATGTAAATTTGTCTTTGACTGTTGGCGAACACGAATGGCGGGAGCATTTATCAACGCAATTTGACAAACCTGCACATTCACACGTGAGTTCATTGTTCTGATATACCCAATATCTCAAAAGCTTGGAAGCCTGTGTACTTGGTGGAGCCTCCTGAAGACTTGAATATTCCTACGACGATAGTGGTTCACAAGACTTAAATGAACGTGATGCATTTCGTTCTGTGTCGAACACCAACCCTGCGTGTTACTGTCCTGAGCTGATGTAATGCATTCTACGGGTAGTAAGCATTCTCACAAAGAGACCATATATATATCACTATCAGTTCCTCAACAATTGATACAAAGAGTAGTCTTTCAGATCGACCTCCTCAATAGCTTTACTCCCATATGTGTAAAAATTGGTTCAATAAACTAATAGTACTGTAAGTATCTGTAAAACATATGTTTCCATTCCTAGGAATAAGAAAAGACGCTTAAATTCTTTTGACAGCATGAGGATATAATTACCGCAGTCGGTCGCCTCCGCTGCAAGTTGCAAGAAAAGAGCATGGCGAGCAAGGAGCCGAACTTTTCTCTCCTTGTCGTTCAGGAATTTATCTTCCTGTGTTCCTGTTTGTCCAACAGCAGGTGCGATGATCCACGACACCAGCAACGTCAAGCTACACAGCAGACCTAGCTTCTCCATCGATGAGTGTGTGCTGCACAGTCCTCGCACTAAAACTTCGCACTTACGAAAGTGCACACATCTCCGTCACTCCCTCCTTTTCCCTTGTCAACTGAGTATTCAGCTCATTCATTCACCTACGGTCTTGTCACCTCAGATTCTTCGGATCCTTCGAGGTCCATCTTCGGGAACGTCGAGGTTGAGGTCGTAATCAACTGCCTAAAGGATCTGTCTCAATATGCCATATTCAACAAGTTCCAAGACGCGCTACGAGACTTTCCGAGAAAGAAGAATCATCTGCTCACAACGAACCCTCTTGAAGAGGCCTCTAATCTCCTTCATAACCAGAACGGCCACCATAATAGCACCCTTCATCGAAACCGAAGACGGTAGAGACTCCAACCGCCATGACCTCCTTGACATTCTCCTCGAAATTCCTCCCTGCCTATCCACATCGTCTCAATCTCTCGAGCTCTAACTACAGTCGAACTGCAGAGCCACCCGACTCTACTTCAAAAGTAGATCAAGAGTAGTTCTTAGGGCAACAACACGTCAGCATACAAAGGCACAACCTCAACAGGCATTCAATGGCCGGTTCCACGCACAATCTCCACACGATGCAATGGGTACTGCAACGCCAGCCATACGGTCTCCGCCAGTGGTGCAAAGTCGAAGGATGTCAGATTCATCAACACGACAATGATGATAACCTGCAGCAGCAATCTACCAAGTCTTAGGAAACTTTGGCGCTTTAAACACTACAACCGGCCTAGTGCACCCCTCCGCTGGCCTACTGGCAATCCCGAGCAAGTCCGCATCCTCCCCTGCCGGTTTCCCAACCCGACTTCACGTCCGCGCATTAGATTGCTGACTAACGTACAGCAAGTGACTCGTAGTGAAGTTAATTAATACTCCACTTTCCGAAACCATGAGTGTCATTTTGGAGTGCAACCCTAGCATGTAAAACTAACCTCTCCTCTGACCCACGCTCATCGAAGACAAACTAGAAAAGTCCTAGTCGGAACAGTCAAGACCAAGGCGATGGCCAACACGTGCCACGCTTGGAAAAAGGATGCGATCGTAATAAGACACTTATTTCTCTGCGAATGTCTCTTCATGTGGCGCTCCAGCTACCACGGTCAGGAGATTGAATGCCTGCTCCAGCACGCTTAAGTGGAAATTTCGGGCTCGAAATTGCGCCAGGATGCTGCGAAGAGGAAAGAGGAAGAGAGAGCACGGGGGAAATGGCCACATCCAGCAGCAAAAAAACACTATTTCGTGTTAATGCCGTCTAATCATCTCCCTCCGTTCGTCTGTCTGTACGGGTGCTGAGTACACCCTCTTCCGAGATATTTTTCCCTCCCTAATAATTCGAAATTCCTAATTCCCCTCAAGCTCCATCAGCTTCATCCTCTCTCACCACTCCCACTTCTGGGAACCGCGCCACAAAGGTATAGGTCGCTGTCATCATGCAAGGACCCGTTCACACCGGTCCCTCCCCTCTTGCCTTCCCTCCACTTACCAGTATCCCCTGATCGTATTAAGAGTATGGTGACGACAGCGTAACGATTGTGCCACCTCTGGTACGACTACCACCAAAGCCATTGTTGGATCAATGGCTTCTATAAAGTAATGCATTTATTATGATGTTTATTACATAAATATTGCATATACAATTACAATCTTTTATGTCCTCATTTGAATCTATAAAATTATTTTTATAAAATAGAACAAGATTTGTCAAAAGAGTATTAATTCTTAAATCCTAAATTTAAACTAAAGTTGATGTTTTTTAATAATTTTTTAATTCATGGTTTCGGAAAGTGTACATCTAGAAAACTAATATGCAGCATTTAAGAAAATCATCAAATACATGGTTCAATTTTTAATTTCTTATTTGTGAAGCAAAGTCGATAGACAAAGTTGTACAAAACCATGGTAAAAAAATTTACATCTTTATTAGAACAAGACCAATCTATAATTTGATTATTTTTTAAAGTTTTTTTAATCCGGAAAATCTAATGCATTCAGAATATATATATATATATATATATAGTAACTCATTCTATTCAATTCCCTACACTCAAATGTAGTTGGTATTGAATTCCCTGCAAGATTCCATTGGCATTAAATCCTCCCATGTGCAATATGAATAAAAAAAAAGCAAATAAATAGATAAAATCGAACATATTTTCACATCCTAGTCGTCACCTCTGTGACTCGGCTCACTCTCGTAACCACCTTTCCTCGCTGCCTCTGTTGCAGCTCCTGGAACTCGCAGTTCTGTTGTGTGGAAATGGAACTGGAATGGTGGCATTGGAAGCTTGAGGAAGGGGACGGATGGCTGGTGAGATGGAGATGGTGGCAGAGAAAAAGGGCAACATGTGAAGCAGTGCCTCGGCAGCATCAGCAGCAGCAGTATCATCATCAACTTCTCCCCACACAACGCCGTGCATGGCCGATTTGTGTACCACAGCATTCACATCGTTCTGGTTCTTTTCTAGACCAAACGCATTCTGTGGCAGCCTTTCCAGCGTACCCACTTTAACCTTGTCTGCACATATCTTTCACCGCAAGGCACTGGCGAGGTTGGCCTGATCGAATCTCAACGTTTTCTATTGTTTCTTTTTCAATTTATTCTCTAATATTTTTGTTATTTTTTTGTGATTTATCTCAGTCTCCTGACCTGTTGGTTCACCTATGGCTCGATCGTTTCATTCTTTGTGATGCACCAACAAAGTTTCTAAAGATGTCACAAATTCAGGGAAGATCGGAGTGCATGAGACAGACAAGGATAGGGGTCTCTCTGTACATTTTGAAATGGTTTCACGAGGGTTCCGGTGCCGTGCGGGCTTGTTGCACCTGCAGTTGTGCACTGAAAGCAGAAGTAACATGTTATGACCACGAGGGAGTTTGAGATTCTCCCGAAGTTTGTTACTCCATTTTGCGACTTTGGGGCTGAGTTGGTGGGATCCACCGTGAATCGCCTAGGAGACTCAAAGGTGCCGCAGTACTAATCATGATTGACGCAGTTGCAAGCCAAGTATGATACTGTACCTGCTGTGTGTGAGAGTTCCAAGGTTGTTGAGAAGGATGACCCAGTGAATTGCGATGAATGTTGTATGGTCTTCAGGGGTGATAATGTCCAACTCAGAGATGCATTCTGGTCGGCTATGACTGGACTTTGAGATCTAGACGTTTGTTTACTTGGCTAAAAAGATGAAAATCCTACGAAATTTAGAGCGTCCCGGTGTTTTATTACCGTTTGAGAGCGCAAGTCGTACTGGTCAACACGTCAGCACAGAATTCCGTAGGGTCTGTATAAAATGAGTGATCTGGTGGCACAAAATAATCGTGCGCTCCAATGACTGTCTCAAATAATAGAAGAATAAAGGTCACGGAATGTAGGCACTATAGCATGGTGGAGTATCATACATAGTGCTTCAGTTGAGCTGCATATTCCCTTACAAAGGCAAGGAGGAAACAAACTACGTTGTGAACGGTTTCGAAGAAAAGTTTGATAGGTACGACCTCTTGCATAATTCTCAAACGACTTTTTTACCTGGATTCTTACTTCGTCATTGTTGTCCTACAGATTCATTCCCACGGCGGCGTGAATTGGTAGCTACAATCTTGTTTTCTGAATGAGCCTTTGGCGTCTTCTGCATCATCTGTAATTCATGTGATGTTACAGTGTTGGCACAACCTGAAAAGCACCGTATTGAACGCCTGACAAGGACCTCGACGGACGAGTTTCTTTTAAGAGGATCCAAAAACAGCAATGATTCAGCACAATAATAATGCATGGGGATGAGTATCTATTATAGAAAAAAATGAATATGCTCATAGCTGCATTATAGTTCAAGTACCTGTTACAGCTTCCCGTATAAGGCGCCGCTATCCGAAATCTCAACGCTAACTTCAATTGTAGAGCGTGCGAGGCCACCAAATTAATGTGTCTCATAACGAATTTGGGTTGTCTGACCTGATAGAACTTTCCTCAACGTCTACAATAAAGACACACCGTGAGTGGACGTCTTCGAGGCAATGTCCGATCCACCCGTCCTTGTAGACGCTTCATTCAAACCTACCCCTGTCGAACTACATCAGTGAGTCCAACGCAACCTCAAAGACGCACAAGAGAGGTGCATTATTGATCAAGTTCATCAGAGGAGCTACGGTCAAAGCCACCAGCTATTATATCTTTAAAAAAGGACAAACATCCTACGACTTTCGCAACTACACTTGTGACGGTCAGCAAAATTCCACTGCGAAGTTTCTCTCACAAGCCGAACAAGTTGAGGACCGCAATCAGTGAATCTAGCATCGCTCAGGAGCTATTGGAGTAGAAGCTCTTAGTGGAGCATCAAGGTCAGAGACTTGTGGGCGGCGGTGAGCTGAGCCACATGAATTTGCAGGGACAATATGTGATCCACGAATTGTCGTGGCGGACTCTCACCGCGTTGCTTGCTTGCGGAACTGCCCACCTCGGCGCTCGATCCTATCGATGCAGGCTCGAAACATTCTCATTGCCAGGGCAGCAACTTATCTTCTACAGCGCATTTTATAGTCTTCTTCTTCGTCTGCTTCATCTACAACGACTACGACGACGGCGGTGACGATGAAGATGGCGCTGGATTCAATGCGAGGAAGAATGACGCGTCAACATTGTTGGTGAAGAGACGCTTACAATTCGAGTTTTAGAGCTTCTTCTTGTCGCATCATGAGGATTATGGAAGCATGCCCACTTTCCAAAAAGTAAAAAGCTAAGTTAATTTTTGAAGATTTTTAGTGTTGTTTCAGGAAAATGTTTAGTTAGCAGTGGCAGTTGGTTTCTGTAGTTGGTTTTTGTAGTTTTTTCAAGTTTTTGTAGTTGATTTGACATTCATGAATATATATATATATATATATATATATATATATGTGTATATATGTGTATATGTGTATATATGTGTATATAATATATATATATATATATATATGTGTGTGTGTGTGTGTGTGTATTTATGTTCAAATAAATAAGCTTGTGGAAACCAGTGTAGTTGGCTTCTGAAAATTATCATTGGGAGTTTCTGAGCTCCAAGCCTAATGCTCTCGAAGTGCTATTCTCAGCAATTTGTAGCAACATGTAGATTATGCATCTAGTTAGAGATGGTTTTTGTCTCCTTTGGTTAATTCCATTGGTTTATTTTGTTGGTTTATTCCCTAAATTTGAAAACATTGATCCACGCCATTACATTTATCCATTAATTTTACACAGGAAACAAACACACATTATTAGAAGAGGCCAAAGCTAAAGGCACAGTATCCTTTTACTTTAAAGCTTTCTGAGAAGCTGGCCCCATGCCCGCGGTTTTCTTTCACACCGAAGCTCTAAAACATTTGCGGCAGTGTTTCTGTTTCGGAGCTTGAGGTGCACTTGTTCATCCCTCCAGCTCTACGTTTTGCGGTCAAATTGTAAGTATTTTTTGCGTCACGACCGCAATTTTTTTTTTAATACAGTCGAAATTTATCGGTTGAAGAGTGCGTGATCGATTCCAGTGGCTATGAACCTTTTCTTTTCTTTTCTTTTCTGTTTTTATGTTTCCTGGTTTAGGATAATGGATCGCTCGCTAATTCGAGGCAAATTGAATGCGATGGTGTTTTTTTAGATTGTGATTTGAACTTAAGAGCGTTCTTGGTCGATTAGGTGTATTCCTGTTAGGTTGAGCTTGTCTGAAGTCGCGGTGGTGGGAGTCGAGGGTTTAGGGTTTATCCTCTGAGTTGCGTTCATGTCGTCGCAAATTTGAGCAGATCCTTTGCCGTAGTGTATCTCTTCGTTTTATTTTTTTTCGTTTATTTTTTAAAATCAGCAATTCGTTTAGTTTATGAACATTGCCGCTAATGAAGCCTAGTAAACCGTTCCCGTCGCCCTTGTGGCTGAGCTCGGTTTATTCTGTCGACAAGACACGATATAGTTTGCATGGTTGTATTGTCCGAGGTCTGCTCTCCATCAGAGCTTGACTAAGCAGTTCGATTGTGTAGTTGCTTTCTTTGAGGTTTTGTTTGTGCCATGTGAAGGCCAGCTCTGTGGTGTTAGTAGAGCATGATTTAGGCAAATTGAAATACTCGTCCCTCAGCTCAATTGCAGTGGCAAGAGGATTGGGAGAAAGTAGTACTGTAAAGGACTTAGTGTTAAACAAGCTGTTTCTCATGCATTTAAGGTCCATCCATGCGTTACTAAGGTATGTGTTTATTGAATTGATCTCTCGTTTTATTTTAGGTATTGCAGTATCAGTTGCTATGAGCTACGAAGGAGCATAAGACGTAATATCTTTGCAAATAGACGATTTACTTACTTCTACACCCGAGTTTGTGAATTTAATTCGGAAGCGCCTTCATCACTTGGTTGGAGCACAACTTTGTGCTTCATTACATACATAGTAGCTATTCAAGGAACTGCTCAGGGATGACCCAGTTGGTTGAAAACCTACGCGGTAATAGCAATGTCCTTACATTATTTTAATATTTTGCACGAATTATCCTCTACCTGATAATTGATGGTAATAGTAATTTACGGGCCCTCGCAGGTAATCTAATGCAAGATTCATCATCACTAGATCTTTTCAAGTGTGACGTATATGTCGTAAAGGAGTTGATTCGCGTTGTACAGATTGTAGCTCGCATGAAGGTCTACCAAACCTTTATGTCTGTTCAATTAAGCAATACTTATAGCTACTTTCATAACTATTACAAGAGTCATTCGGTCTGGGAATATATATCACGTCAAGATTGTGCGATTGTTGCTGCTTTTGAGCATGGTGGATACAATCAAGTCTTTTAATTGAGAGTGTTGTGGGTGTGTATTTCTGGTTACACAGGATATTCTGATCCAGAGACCCTTAGAAGAACGTCGCTAGAGGAAATGGAAAAATCTACGTGGTGATATCAATGTTCCCTCATTGTCCTATTACTTTGCACCAATTGGCCTTTGAAGATTAATCTCATTCTTCTAGACCTAATCATCCTTGGCCCGCCTCCTCTCACTAACTTAAGGCGCCTGATCTACCCATAGTTGTGTATGTATGTAAGCCTCTCACTTTGATTGAAGCCTCAATATGACGTCGGTGCAACGAGTTGGTAGATCGGGCGCCGGGGGTGTAGGCAAAGGGGACGAGGAGGTGAAGAAGGAGCCGAAAGAGCCGTATCAGCCGCTAAAGATATTAGGAGGAATTCGTGAGAAAGGGTTCGATGGTGATGGCGGATTTTTTGCCAAGCGTGCTACGAAGCCTGTCCAGCCGAGAGTTAAGCCGTTCCCTATTGCGCGCCATCGCTCGGAAGGCCCTGTAAGCTTTGCCGTCGTATAGCTGATTGGTTGGAATTGTGTGTCAATCGAGGAAATTCGTAGGCTTTGTAAATTTTTAGTAGTTCTCCCCCGTTCTGAATGTTAAGCAACATAAGCAGGGCGTAGGGTTTTTCGTTTCATACAGCAATCAATGGTCTTCTTTCCTTTCTGTGTCCGTATTCCTCGTGTTAAGAGTTGGCGTTTGGGACTGAGTTTTGTGAGCTTGGAATGGCAGCATTGGTTACCTCGACGGGAGTCTGAAATTGTGCCGATGCCTGAAGACTCTGAAGAACTGAATGCAGAGGGTATGGCAGCTCTAGCCAAGCCACTTATCCCAAAAAAGAAACCCACTCTAAATATTAGCCGATGGAAGACGGAACGAAATTCGACAAGTACTAGTGTTGATGGCAACCAAGAGCATCTGGATTCTTTCTCAGCTCCTGAACCATCAAATGCAGTACAGGACCTGAAAGTTGCATCAGAAGATTCGAAACTTGAGAGAGCCCCAGAAGCTGTATCTCGGCCGAGGGTTACCTTCACCTTGCCGCTAGAGAAGAATGCAGGTATGTCGAAGTTTCAATAATAAAAAGAATAAAAAAATAAAATCAGGGTTTGGGTTGTCATTGTCTCCCTGGTTTGCTTTGTTTGCTTTCGTATCGTATCGTATCGTATCGTATCTTAGCTTTGCTTTGCTTTGCAGTGCTCTCTGTTTATGCTACCTCACTTGGTGCTGCAGGCGAAGCGCCTGCTGATCGCAGTAAACCTTTAGAGTATGCAGAATTGTCAAGACTGAGAAGTAACTCGGGTGCGAGTGGTCGAGATCAAATTAACGACACTGGAATCGAGACAAGGTCTAAATCAGAAGAAGAACTGATTGACGAGGAAAATCGTGCCACCATTGCATCTATGTCTGCATCTGAGGTGGCAGTAGCCCAAGTCGAACTTATGAACCGGCTGAAACCTGATGTAATAGAGATGTTAAGAAAAAGAAGCCAGAAGAAAAATTCAAAAGAAGGTAAAGGTGCAGAGAAAGAGGTCGATGCACGTCCAGTGGCAATGAATGTAGTAGTAGAGAGTGACTCATCTCCAGAAAGGAAAGAAGCAGGGAAGGGTTCCAATACGCATGAAATTTCGGAAAGTGGGGAAGCACCCGTCGGTGCTTTAAAGAACCAAGAGGAAAATCATGCACCCGCTCCTCAACTGGATAGTGTTCCTCTAACTGTTCCAGCTTTGGGTTGGTCCAAATCCTGGATCGAAAGAGTAGAAGCCGTGAGGCTATACAGGTTTGACATGCAAGGTCACCTGGTGGCAATTGACGAGGCGTCGATCCAGAACACCTCTGGCAAGTTACACTTACTACTTACTTTATTTCAAAGTTTTGATTGGCACTACCGTTATTTTATTTCATTTGGTTTGTGTCTTGGTTGTATTCGTAAGCAACGTCCTAGTCTTGATGTTCAGTAGTTTGTGTGAGCTTAGCCCACAGACCAACTACGGTCGGGAAAGACCTTTGAATTGGCTCATATGGAGTGTCGATTTACCACCTCCAGGTTCTGGCATATGACAAGCATATTTAGTCTTGTTAATTTTTGCATCATAATCATGGTTATTTTTCGTGCATCTTCAAACAGATGCTCCGCTTGATTTCCAACAGCCAAGTGTGCAAAATGTTGCTGAGCGGGACTTTCTTCGATCAGAAGGTGACCCTGTAGGAATGGGCTATACTTTAAAAGAAGCCTCCGATCTTGTTCGTAGCACGGTGAGTGAATGGCGAAGAATGGAATTTTTTTTCTCTTCCACTTTGCTTAATACCCCATGGACGGTGACCTTTGATTTGTGCTTTGTTCTGTAAAATAGTTCACTCTGCGAACTTGAGGCCATATTCATGGTTTAGCGAGATGTGCAACGTTCTAGCTTTGTTTGCTGGTGGAATATTTGCAGAGCTATTTGTTTCATCAATCAAGAGTATTACACAGAATATTATGACCAAGAGAATTTTGCTGTTCGAATCATAAACTATGTATGGTACTCTATCAGAGTAACCGATTCATAATAAGGGGTTTGTTCTGCAGGTTGCAGGTCATAGAACATTTGCTTTGCGGCTCATAGCTTCTGTTCTCGAGAATGCTATGATTGGACTTCAAGAGCAGAAAGCATCCTTTTTGGATCTAAAGCAGAGGACGCTGAAGGATGTTGATTGGCAGGCAGTATGGGCTTACGCATTAGGCCCCGAGGCCGGATTAACCTTGACCTTAAGGTGTTGATATGCATACTTCTAGGAGATATTCTTTCGTGAGGCCTGGTGCTTCGTCGAATGATGTTTTTGCGTATAGGATGGAGAGTTGATTTGTGTATTTAACATTCGTCACTGATCTGCTTATACCAGGCTTGCTTTGGACGACACCCACACAACTGTTGTTGTATCATGTGCAAGGGCTCTACAAGCTCTTCTGAGCTGCTCAGCTAACAATGCAATCTTCGATCTTCATGAGGTGATTTTTGGATTTTTGGATTTTTTCAAAGAATTCACTGTCAAACGAAATCAAACAAGAATACCAAATACTAACAAATCATCGTTTTGAGTATAAGTAGTTGTGGCTTAAGTCAATGGGCAGCTATAAATGTACGAACATGCAAGTCCCGCGATATCTCCAGTGACATAATGAGGGATTTAGTTTTCATGTTTTTTGAATGGAAATAATTGATTAAGACTTCGCAAGGAATGGGATTTTCGGTTGCATGAGGGATCTTGTTGGGCGTGGTAGTTTGATGCGTTATTATAATTTCACGAATCAACACATTCGTTATAATTATTATAATAATTCACTGTGTTGGCCTCAACAGAATTGTTGGCCAAGAATGAAGTTGGTTTTCACTGGGTCCGTCTTTCGAAGCCATTCAAAGCAGGATGAAGGGTTTCTTGGAGGGGGACGGTGGAAGTACAATATCAAAACTAGTGAGTTATACGCCTTTTCAAAAACAGGGGATTCTCAAGAAGAAGGTGCCGAAGGGAATGAGACTGTTGGAGACGATGCAACAGTCGCGAGCAAAGACTGTGCTGCCGGGCTTATTCGAATGGGCTTGTTGCCCCGAATTCGTTATATTCTTGAGGTTTACATTTCTCGCTCCTTCGGACTTTGATTCTTGGGAAGGATGACTCCTTTTGTGACACTTTATTAAAGAAGTACAATGCATATATTTAAAGCATCGCTCATTTAGATTTATTTGCTCTAAAAATCATACTGTTATGCAGGTTGAGAAGTTGAAGGCAGCAGAGGAGCAGTTGTTAGATGTTATTGTGGCATTAGCACGTCATTCTCCCGCTGCTTCGGAAGCTGTTATGAAGTGTCCAAGACTTTTGGATGCTATTATTCAACGGTTTATATCAATGAACGAGGATCGAAATGATGTTGGCCATTCTGCTCGCACCAAGGCCATCGAACTTCTCAAGGTGAATTTCAATCCCTGAAACTTGTTACTGTATTATTTAGAGTGCTTGATTGAATTTGGACTCTTTATGGTTGTTTTCTTTGGTGTGTACGAGCCTCAAATTTCTATTTTGAATCTCGTGCATAGAGGGAAGCCATGAGGCCTGCGTCTCTGTTCATAAGGTCCAGTTTGATGGGCTAATGTGGTATTGGTTCGCTTGTCGTACTACTGCAATCTAGTTTTCGGCTTTTAAAGTCTAGGTTTTCAGTGTAAGAGATCGGTACTGATATCGTAGAATAATTAGGACAAAAACTTTTGATAATTTTATAACCAAATCTTGGCCTCAGGTACTATCACAAGCAAGTCGACTCTACTGTTCTAAGTTTTTCAATTCAGGAGCTATTCAAATGGCACAATCTGAGTTATATACGCAATCCTGGTCTGGGGGCATGGTATGCTTAACAATGGTGGAGTCTCTCCGGCTCTGGCAAATCTGCATCCAGTACAAGATGGGTATGTCAAGCTTTATGGATATTTATCCTAACCTCTGCTTCTGGTTGTCTCCTTTGACCAAAGAAGAGATCTTAAGTGATAGGAGCATAGATGCTCTGAGCTTGGCCCAGGAGTCGTATCGGTTACTAGAACGACTTGCTCAAACACTGCCTAGACTACACCTAGACGATGATGAGACATTGGAGAGCTTTGAAACCGACGATGATGAAAACTGGGCATGGAGTGTGGCAGTTCCTTTTGTAGAAACTGCTCTGGGCTGGCTCTCTGCCGAGTGCCTGTCTGCTGTAATAGAGCTAAACAGCAAATCGAGGCAGTGTGTTACCTCCTCTGCAGTTGATACTTGCACGGTGAAGCTGATTGGGACTCTCACTTCAGTACTTCAGTTTCTTGCAACAGTTAGTGAAAAGATACTTGGAAGCAATGACGGAGAGAACGGGCACAATTCACATACTCCCTTTATACCCACCTTTGTTCCCCGTCTAGGGCTATTATTGGCAGCAGACAAATTTCTTTACAATCACGATGGATCTATGACATTGTTCGGAAGTCTTTGTTCCATTAGACATATTAAGGATGACGAAACCACGTTGGCTGCTACTTTTTGTTTACACGCTGTGGTTCGACTCTTCAGCAATGTAGACAAAGTCATCAAAACTGCACGAGCTGAGAGTGTTCCAGCCTCAGCATTTGGGGAAAACACTCCAGCACATAAAATACTAGATGCTGGGTTGGTTTTTTCTTCTAGAAGGGAATTTCAGAACTTGTTATCTCGTGCTGGAGATGAAGTCATATCAAACACTTGCTTACTCCAGTCTTTCGAGATAAATGGTAGGGGAGGGCCTGCTCCAGGGTTAGCGCTCGGCTGGGGTGCGTTAAGTGGTGGATCATGGTCCAAACAAGTTTTGGTTGCTCAGGCCACAGCCAGGCTTGTGATGTATTTACTCGATTTAGTACCTCCGTGTAGGAGCAAAACTTTTGTTGATAGCCATGATTCTAGTAGTACCGAAGAATGCTCCATTGCGAAAATGAAGACTTGTGTTTCGGAGATGGTTTGGCGGTTAAGTTGTGGATTTGGTGTTGCGGCACTCGCCAGTCCAGAGGACGGGGAACTGGTGAAACAAACCTGCTCCAAATTGTTGGTTCACCCGAACATTTTGACTTCACTGACAAAGGCCGCTGAGAGTAATCTATTAGAATTAGACTCCGTTTTCGAAGACTTAAGTCTGCGCATAGAGGCTTTATCCAAGTTGGTTCCTGATAAAATGTCGAAGGTGCTCCTGGAGCACTACACATGGACATGGACATCACGAAAGGATCAAAAGGTACCAAAGACCCAGAATGCTGACGGTTCTAATCTCAGAGGGATACTGAAAGGTAAAAAATCAGGTTCAAAGTTACCGACTGTTCTTGAAAATGCGTCTGCTGGCGCAAGAACGAGCTTAGCGAGAGAGTGGGCAAGACAGAGGCTACCATTACCATCACATTGGATTCTTAGCCCTATGGCTTCTAATATGTCACGGGTGCTATTCACATCAGAAGAAGAAGGGGTTGGGGTTAGTACTGTGAGTATAATTGAGAAAGCATTGATGGAAGAGACTATAAAATCTGGTTTATCTTGGCTTCTATGCTTGGAGTTTCTTTATTCTCAAAGCAAGAGTGATCCTTTCCATTTAATACCTTTGGTTAGAAAAGTGCATGCTTTATCATCTATCTATGTTCTTGGAGGAGACGTTTTTCTTCAGGAGGAAGTGCGGAGTGCCATTGGGGTGTTGCAGGAGATTTATGGTCGCCAATTGGATAGACCTACTACCTCGGAAGAATCATTGAGTCTCAAGAAGGACAAGGATGGAACGCATGTGCTTATCGACCAGACTTTGGATTTTGAACATGGAATTAACCCTAACTACACCTCATTTGGAGAAAGTTTAGCAGAGCAGTTTGTATCTACTTCATTTGGTGACCTTGTCTTTGGCCGTCAGGTAGGACTTCACCTCCAGCAAGGAGTGCCCGACTCCGTCCGGTTAGCACTTTGGCGCTGTGTAGCAGATGGTCAATCATTGAGGCTTCTGCCTCCTTTGTCCAAATGTTGTGGAAGGCCTGAGCGTTACTTATACCCTTTAGAGGTAATCCCTATATTCAATATCTTTTAATAATGAAATGGAGGTACGATTCTTGGGATATATATATATATATATATATATATATATATATATTACCCATTTACAAAGCTGCAGCTTGTATTGCAATATAGTTGCTAATACCTTATGGATTTTTGTGCAGAGGAACGACGAAATTCTGGCAGCATATGTAACAGCGTGGACATCAGGAACCTTTGACACAGCTGTTACGCAGGCAGGCCTCTCGTTCACGTTATGTATGCATCATATTGCTGGGTATCTCTTCGGAAATTCAGATGTGCATGACAAATTAGCTGTTAAAAAGGTGACCAGGACACTGGTGCGGAGCTCCATGCTCAAGTCACAACAGCAGGTACTAGACACGTATTAAAAGGCCCTCCTTGCTTTATCAGTATTGAAATTGCATATCGTGTAGATTTGAACTGAACTCTCGCGCGCATGTCCGTGAGAAGAATTTGATACTACCGCCTTGTGGCTTTGAAATAGCTTTTTTAATCTAGTAATTCTTACGGCTCCTAAAGAGGTGTATATGTTTGCAGGCTGCGTTTTTGAAGCTTTTAGTTTATCAATCCTCTGACCATAATGAGCTGATGGACCGAGTGGCTTTTCTTCGGGAGGCTTCTGATGGTGATCGCACCCTTTTAAGTCATATAGAGCGTTTGCAACGCCTAGCAACACCAGTGCAGTAAACCATAACTGGCTGGAGTTATGTTGCGTTTTTGGAGTACTTAAATATGCCTCCAGGATAACACATTGGAATCCCTCGGTAACAGTTGCTAATGTGGCTTGCACCATTGTGAAAGTGACTGGTTTTCCTTGTACTGAGGACTTCACTGCAAGCTTAGCCAAGTTAGCCTAGACTTCTAATCGAGAGAGCCTTTATAATCTCCGACAAGCACTGAGGGTCATACTTCTCTGCATGACTAAAAACTGCATCTCATTCATCACCAAGTTGTAAATACAGAATGTCATAGGTTGCCAGAATACAGAACGATGTGGGTCAATGATAATAGATTTAGTGTACGAAGTTCGAGACCCAATGAAAAACTGATAACATTCAGCGCGTCTCTGTGATATAGTCTTGTGAAGGTTGTATTTGTCGCAAATATTCTGAAACTTTAAAACTTGCCGAAGATACCAGTGATACTATTTATTTATTTATTATTTTATGGAATTGTGCCAAACCGAATGCAGTTTTTTACCAGCAACTTGAAAAACAAAATGCATGTATCGGGACTCTGGCAGAGAAATGATGGTCGACGTTGTACAATACACTACCTAGTTGCAAATTTACAAAACTGTATGAGAAACAGGAACAATCGTAAAATCCTCCAACTAAATACTTCCACTCTGGCCACTATATAATACTCCTTTCCATGAAATATGTCCATTGAAAACGGTGCTACGATACTCGTAAGACTGAGTCGTTATGCCAATATACCATATGCACAACACATGAAGTGTGTCTTCTGGCGAATTATTAAGTATCATTATGCAGAGGAACATTGATATCCATGCTGGTATGGATCTCAAGGCGGAAAAGGAATGCTCGGGCACACCAAGCTAGTTTCTAGGCAGCTGTCTACAGATCAACCTCATTACATAACTCTAGGAAACTGATGATGCACGAAGACTAAGCAGAGATTAGTGCTCATAGTGACCTTCGTGCTTGTACTCGAATAAACCGTCAGGACCTGTAAGACCAGCGGATAGTTTAGTTACGATCCGACAGATTCAGTGACTTTTACAACTTTGTGCTTCAGGATTCTTGTGTAGTATAGTCCTGCTCACCTTTTACTTTAAATAATCAACTTTAGAGAACTCCAAGGAGCGGTCTGGGATTTACCGCGAAAGATAAGTATGTTGGCCAAGATTAAACTTCGACAAGCATTCTAGGAACCAATATGATAAAAATCAAGCTTTCCAGCACAAAGTACGCTTGTGCAGTAAACAGCATCAAGAAAAAAGTACGAAAAGACATACCCCAGGGAAACTGCTTGTTACGGATATGCAAGTAAGAATACCCCTGTCATTCCCAACAAAATCAATGAGAGAGAAGCTTTGAGGACTTTTACATCTTTACTACTACCAAAACGTTCTCCGGACAGAGAAAACTGCTTAAATTCCTTCACTGAAATGTAGATCTTCACACAACAAATGCAAATCACTAAAAGCCAAAATACGTGCGCTACGAAATAATATACCGGTTTCTCTCCATCATGCCCATGTTCCTCATTAGCAAGAATGTAGATTCCCATGCCAATACACATGATGTACGCTGCAATTGTGATGCTGCGCCACTTAGCCGTCTCCTCTACAGTTCCAAGTCAACTTACACTAAGTAAACGTACAAAGGTAAACATACATGTGGCAACGAATTTGCTCTATGAAAAATGACGCAACGAAACCGTGCTCTGTACACCTTATCAATTACTTGCTACAGATCACCAAAAGGTAATATCTCGAATAGAAAGTGAGCACACGAATCAATGATTCAACAATAGACAGACGCTTCTAGCAAAATTCTCAGATGCAGTAGTCCATATTAAGACACATGACATGCCTAATCCATAAAACATATTCAACCGTTGAAAATTCATCTTCGAAACCAAGCAATCCTAGCCTCAAACGCGACTTTAATGCAGATACTTTAATGTAGTAGCACATCAACCATATAAAAACTCAACACAGCTGGTCACACATTCAAGGAAGACAGATAACGCTCTAAGAAAGGAAAAGCGACTCAAAATAAACTCAATCATTGCATGAAAGAAAAATAGAAGTAATTCAACCCTAGAAGTAGTAATCTACCGGGCCAAGTACTACAACCAAAACTCAAAGAAAAGAATCCAGCAAATCAAAACCCGCGGACAAAACCTTGCGATCAGACATAGAGATTTCTCCCAATAACCCTAACCACACGGTCACTGATCAAACAGCACCATATTCAACTAAAAGAAAAGCCAAGAAGACCGAAAACTTAGCCAACTTAGGGCATTCTAGAATCAACCAAAATTCTAAAGAGATGAAAACCACGGTAGATTCAGGAAAGCTCACCAGCATCGTCGTGTGCGTGAGACTTGGAAGCGAAGAAGCGCTTTGAAGCAGCACCAGTCTGGGCAGTCTGGCCCAAGGGGCTGGAAATAGGTCGGCTCAGGAGAGCACCGAGTCGTTGCCGCACAAGATTCGCCATCGCAGCAAAATTGTTGCAAAACGAGATCGAGGAAACACCGAATGAGAGCGCGATCCAGTAACAGCTACGGCAGAATTCGGATCTTCGAAACTCAGAGTGCCACCCTCGTCATCGGCTTCAATTCCACGCGGAATTGGGTCCGTCCCACTGCACACGGTGTAAGAGCACCATCATCGTGCCCTATCACCGAATGAGAACGAACCTGAAACCGTGATTCTCTAGCCCTCGACGATGAACGTCGTCGCGTTTTCGTCGACGGAGATATTCATCGTTGGGGTTTCGTTGGGCATGTACCCACAAGGGCAAAGAGTTTTTTTTTTTTTTTTTTTTTTTTTTTTTAAATTTAACCAATCCTATAAAGTTAATGAGTGTATTATCTATACTTTGTGTGAATTTCTTAATACTAATATAAAATTTTATATATAAAAGAAAATATTATATTTATTAAATATAAGTATTAAATTTAAAAATAATATCTTATATATTCCTCAAATATGTTGAAATATCAAGAATATTCCTATATTTTTGCTAATAGCAAATATATCTCCCACTTTTGTGATAATATCAAATCTATCCTTAAATGTAATAAGATATCACAATTATTCATTTTTTATGTATAATGAAGCTCCAACTACATGATGAACAAAATTTGGCACAATCCTTTCTGCATTTTTTGGCTATTAAAAAATTTGCTTCTCTTAATTCTTAATAATGCTTGATTGTGGAGATACATACTTGTCGGAAACACTTACAATATTATAGAGCCATAATAGCCAAGGTGGCATCTCAGAAGAAAAGAATTTGGACCTTAATGATATAGGAGGAAGTTGCATTGTGATCACCACAATAGAACTAAACCTCAACAAAGATATTGAAGCTAATAATAGTTCTATTAGATTACACAATGATGGTACTTTTTGCAACAATATCATTATAAGTGATTGAAACATGTAACTAATCTTACTCATTCTCTTTAAATCTGTCAAGGCCATGAATCTCAAAAAAAGAAGAAACTCAATACATCCTTTTGTAATTCAAAAAGATTAAAAAATCATTCAAAGATGATAATATATTGAACTAAAATGGCTATTGCTAAAGATAAAAAGATTAAAAAAATCTTGAAATAAGAATAAAAACTAAAAAAACATTGACAAGAGTGAAAAAAGCTTCACTCTTGTTTTTATATATACTATCTAACTAAGAAATATGTGGCAATATTCTATGAGACTTCCAACACGTGTTGACTTTGTAAGATACATATGTTAACTTGCAAGGCAAGTTTCTTATATACACACCATATCATTAGCTTATACTATAAGCTACCAATGCATGTAATATGTGGCTAGCTTGTTGGATAAGTTCATAACCTACCAATCAACTAAAAATATGTATAATGTCAAATACGTATCTATGAAGCTTTTAAGAAGCTTCACCTTAAGATAATATCAAATCTATCTACATTTTTTTTTTATCTAACATTTCTTATCTAGGTAAATATATGTTTGTAACATTATCCATATCCTTGCCTATGAACAAGATACTCTAATTTATTTCAACACCATCTTGAGTCTAAGATTTCTCCCACCTCTAGCTCTTTATTATTATCTACTTCTATAGTAGGACATGGTATTTGTCTTCTTCCCAAGATATTTACTATCTTATATAATCTAAAAAGAGACATGTGAAATATAAGATGGATCTTTGTAGACTCTTGAAGACATAATTGATAAGCAACTACATTGATTTATTTATTAATAGAAAATGGTCCAAGCTTGTGGTAATCCAACTTCTCACAAAAGCGGTTAGTCTTGATATTACAATGAAGTAATTATAGTTTATTGCCAATGTGGAATTGATGTTGCTCCTTGCAATATACATATGCATTAGCCTTTTATTGTTCTTGAGTTTCTTTTAATGATACTATCATTGTTATTTAGAATTCAAATAAAAAAATTTCCAAATCTTTCACCACAAGCTTATCAATTTTTGAAAAGTCAAAAGCATCAAGTCATGGATGGTAATTATAATTAGTAAAAAAATATATTTGTTACATAAAAAAATATTATATTATTATATAAAAATTCTATCAATAATAAAAAAATTATCCAATCATCTTATTGGTAGTTGATGGTATACTTTAAATGTTACTTCAAAACTTGGTTTACTTACTCCATCTATCCATCAATTTGAGGATAAAAAATCAAAGATAGATTTATGTCTACTTTTAAAATCTTGAAAATGATTCACCAAAATCTTGATACAAATTGAGTCCCTCTATCCAATATAATATCCTTGGATAATTTATAGTAGCAATAGATATTTTCAAAAAAAAACTTAGATATTTTTTTTACTTGTGATAGATTTTGTATATGGTACAACATGTACCATCTTGATAAAACAATCTACTATCACAAGTATAAATTCATACAAACTTGAAATTGAAAGATTCATGATAAAATCCATAGAAAAAAAAGATCATAATTGTTTTGGAATAAGTAATAGCTGAAGATGTCTATAAGATTGATGAAAAGGAATTTTTAATGTTAAAAAAATATCATATGATTATATAAAGTCTTTGACTATCTTCCACATTTGACGCCACTAAAAATCTCTTGATATTAGTTCCAAAGTCTTGTTATATTCAAAATTTCAAGTTGTTGGAAAGTCATGATAAACTTAAAGAATATATAATTATGCTTTATCTTTTAGAATGTATAATTTTTCCTTGAAATAGAGTAAATTATGATAAAATAAATGTTAGACGAATAAAAAATATTAGCTAACGTAAGTTGCTAATGATTAAAGGGTAATAAAAGATAATAGAAAAGTTACCAAGATGTCAGCTAGGGTTTATAATGGCGGCTAGGTTAAGTGGCGGATAGGTTAAGTAGAATCTAGGATTTAGTTGGATGAAATAAGGATAAATGAGAATGAAGTTGAGCCACAATGGATGAAAATTCTACGTATAAGTAAAGGATGTTGGAAGTGAGAGGTATCTCATTCCATACTTCTCTTGTATCTAACCTTGCTGATTTTTACTTACTTGTGTCTTGCTTATTGTATTTCTTCAATAGATTATGGGCCCACAAACACTTGATTGTGCTTCTCAGGTAAATTAAAGTTATTTGTTGGTTGTTGCTCTTGTGTAGAATAGATCTTATGGTGTTTGCTGATATTAGGATTTGTATGATCTAATCTTGTGTTTTGGCTTGTGGAGGTTCTGATTTGGGCCTTATAGATTCCTAACATCTATTGAAGGTTCTTAATTCCTAGGATTGAGTGATTAAGACCTTATACAAAGACCTTAATAGTATCTTTGGTATTCCAAAAGTTTTAGTGAGAAAGTGAATTTTATAAGTTAGAAAACTTGATAGTAAAGCTGATTAGAGTCCACATACTTGTTAGAAGCTTTGAAAGTTGAGTTGGGAGTGTTTGGAGTGAAAAAACAATCATTTGCTCACAAGAAGGTATTTTGAGATTTTGTTAATGTAAAATTGTTTTCGTGATTTTAAGCACATAGAGAATATTTTTCTTGATATTTTTTGATAGATCTATTCTTAGATATGGCTTCTAGTGAGGTTGAAGATTTGAGAGTGATTGAGAAGTTTAAAGGTGAAAATTTTTACCATTAGAAGGTAAAAATTAAACTTTTATTGTCGTCTTTGGACCTTTGAAACATTATAGATGAAAGTGAAGAGCCTCCAAGAATGCATATTGATGCTAAGGAGAAGAAAGACTTTACAAGACATGAAAAGAAGGCTTTTGGCATGATTGCAATCAATTTGGATGAAGCCAACTTTTCTCAGATCATCTCTTGCAAAGGACCAACAGAAGCATGAAAGATCCTTTGCAATATATATGAGAGTGAGAACTTATTCAATATCATCTTCTCAAAGAAGAAATTATTCACTTAGAAGATGGAAGAAGGTGATGACTTCATGGCTCATATCAATAAGATAAAGGCCCTTACTAATCAACTTTCAATTATTGACAAGCCTTTAGAAGAGAGTGATATTGTCATGACCTTGCTTATGAGCCTTCCTCATTCTTATAACTACCTCATTGTGGTATTAGAGTCCATCAAACTAAAAGAACTCACAATAGATTATGTGATAGAAAGACTTACTCATGAACTGACCAAGAAGAAAGAAAAAGAGCCTCAAAGTGAAGATTCGGCTCTCTTTTCAAGACAAAGCAAGAGAAGTTATTCTAACCAACATGGCAATGCAAGAACTTACTTCATTTGTAGAAAATCACGTCATTTTGCTAGAAATTACTACAGGGCTAAAAAAAGATATAGAAAAAGTACAAATAATGCTCGTGATGAATATGGAGGTGATGATTATGCATTCATGGCAAGTGAAGGTACTTCCATGGATACCATGTCCAAGAAGATTGTTGATTTAGGTGCCACCAAACATATGATTCTATATAACTATTCATTTGTTACTTATGAAGAAATTTCAGTAACAAATATACTCATGGAAAAAAATGGCTTAGTAAAAGCTATTAGAATGGGCTCTATTATAGTAGAAATTATTGTGAAAGGCGAAATTAAGAGGATCAGATTGAAGGACGTCTTACATGTGCCAAAGATAAAAAAAAAAAAAACCTCCTCTTAGTAAGTAAACTTATTTCACAATGGTTGTAAAGTATAATTTGATAAGAATAGGTATTTTGTGAAGACATTGGAAGGAGATGATGTTACAAAGGACTTTAGAAATAGCAACCTCTACTTCATCAAGCGTGAGAAGGTAAATACAATTGAAGTGGCGGTATTTGTTGAATTTCCTCAAGATCCAGACAAGTTTGGTATTTGGCATCGATACCTTAGTCATTTGAATGTCAAGAGCATGAAGGAGCTCCAATCCATAGTAAGTGGCTTAAATCTTAGTCATATAAGCTACAATGCTATGACACTTGCTTGTGAAGGTTGTATTCAAGGAAAATAATAAAGTACTACATTTTCAAGTGGAGTTGCAACACATGCAACCAAGTTGTTGGAGATAGTCCATTTTGATGTTTGTAGACCTATGAGAATGCCATCAATAAGAGGTGTAAGGTAATTTATGACATTCATTGATGATTTTTTAGACAAGGTGTGG